TGAGTTCTCTACCAGGAGATCTTTTATTTTCTCATTATAAACCTCTAACATGCTGACAAACAACTCATATTTCATGATACTGCTTCTCTCACTAGATAAGCTAAATAGCTTCTCTAAAGTTCTGTAGTTGACTCCCCTATTTTCTGGTGTCCCTTCCATGGTAAACGTCTTCCCTGTTCCAGTTTGTCCATAGGCAAATATGCAGACATTATACCCATCCAAAACAGAGGTCACAATGGGCATTGTTTGAGAAAAAACGGCATCTGCATTAGAAAAATTAAAGGATTTAAATGTCAAATTACAATAAGTAATAGAAAAATTCCTTACAGAAAATCTTAGATACACATCAAATCACAGATATCGACTTACCTTGGCTGTCCTCGGGTTTAAACACGTAATCAAACTTAAACTGCTTTTTAGAGGAACCTGCACAACTGATCTGCAGTTCATTTTCATGAGATGGATCAAATTCGACCACCGATGTTGATCCATCTACAATTTCACCTGCATTTAAAGGTCTACATCTACAGAAGACCCTGATATTTCCTTTGAGTTCGATCACTTCATTGTATAGACGCTTTCTTTCAGTACATTCCTCCAAATATTTCTTCTTCAGTAGTTGACACTCTTCATCGAACTTCTTTTTAAGAACTTCATGTTGAACACCTGAAATAGCCAAAGAGATCACAAACACAATCGATAGCATACAACTGTATAGAAAAACCAGATATGAGATGCTGTTCATACACTCCTCCGTATACTTCTGCTTCAGTAGTTCGCATTCTTCATCATACTTCTTTTTTAGAAGTTCATGTTGAACACCTGATATAGACGAAGGACCAGAAATAGATCAGAATTTCTACCATACATCTGTATAATAAAAAAAAACAGATATGAGAATGTTGTTCATACTCATATGCTGAGGAGCACTAAAAGCTTCAGAACCAGAAAAAGAGTCCACACTTGTGCTCTCCTTGACTTCATTACATAATGCTGCCTGTTCTTTCGTCAATTCCTAAAAACGAAGGGATGTTAAAATGAATAATCATTCATTTGATCTCCATTGAAACATTACATTTTTTTTAGAAAGAAGTGGTTAACATCTTACGAGCACTTCGTTGCTAACTTCGATCTTCTCCAGAATTGGAAGAGTCCGCTCTTGATATGATGAACATACTTCTGCGGTACAATGTGAAGCATTACTCTCATCCACTGAACCAGAAGTTCTGTCAACTTTCACTGAACCAATTCAAAAGGCAACAATCCAACAACAGTAAGAAGCAAAGCCTATTCATTAAGAATGTCTACACTACAAACCAGCTCCCTTTAGGTGAAATCAGGGGGGCTCAGAGCTTTTGAAATTGTCTTGGTGAAAAGATAGTGTAATTCAAAAGCAAAGTCCATTTTGTGACTCACAATCCAGGAAGACAAATCAGGCATTACAAAATTCCGTCCGAATTCTACCACCCTAACTTTTTCCACATTCATCAAATAACAAGGGGGTAACTATTATCAGTTGCAACCAGTTTCTTTAAGTAACCAACAAAGAAGAATGATGCAGCTATTTCTTTAAATGTTCAAACATCAAAGAACCTAACAGAGTTCACACAACAGCTAATCGAAATCTTTAAGCTATTCTCATCACACACAAAATAATTAAATATATCCAAACTATTGACTTAGTCATGTAGAAACAATTACTGGACAAGGATAGAATCTGAAGTTCCATTGTTTTTATACAATTTCTTGGCACTATCAGTTCACACATTCATAAAAAGTAGGTTTAAATAAAATACAAAACATTCCATTCTCAAATAATGAAACCCATTTGACCTTTCTTGATAGATAATGTTAAAGAAGAGACCAACCTCCATCAACAGTAGGAGAAGTTTCCGGGGTTTCACCTGAAACAAGATCCACAAAGAATCAACCAAATATTCATTACCATTAAACATAAACAAAAAATCGAAATTAAAAAAAAAAATAAAAAATCCAAGAAAGATGGTAAACAAACCCCCATTTAGAATGGGTTCAGCCTTGATCAAATTATCCCCAGAGATGGTAACTGCTTGATCAAAATTATCACATAGCTTTTCTAGGGTTCGATCTGAAAAAAGGAACACCAAATTTTGAAGTTCATATATACAAAACACTTCGAAATTATATATACATATACAAATTAGAGAGATAGAAAGATTACCGTCCATGATTGAGTGTGAAATCAGTGAAGAGGAAGATGAAGAAGATGAGCGAGAGTGAATTTGGGGAGAGAAGAGGAAGAGAGATTTGGGAATTTCTTAAACGGTCACAATGGGGTTTGAATTTATGGTGGGATACCCAAATTTTTGAATTTTCATTAATCTTAACCGTTAAAGTAAAATAAGAAAACAATCTGTGCCGTCCGATTTACGTGAGCTACCTTTAAAAGCTGCATCTCTTCTAGGAGCGTCTCATTTCTCTTTTAATTTATTTTTATTTACAAAAAGATTGCCTACTACAATTTTGAGATTATAGTAATTGAATACGAATTAAAGTTTTATTTACAGGTGACATAGAGAGAAAAAAAAGGATTTCACATGTTCAATTTAAATTGATGTATTGATCATCTTTTGTATGTAATTTATAGATAGAGAGACTTATTAATTAACATCGGTTGGATTTGAATGGTATATTAGTAAAAAAATTTGAAAACGCGATTAAAAGAAGTTGAAGTTGTCCTCAAGCTTTTTTAAATGATCCGAATTTGTTATTTAGCCGTTGTAGGTAAAAGGATAAAATCTAGTCACTTCAATAATTGATAAAGGCATTACATTTAACATAGTCTAGAGGCATTTTTAGATCTTTTATCTTAGGATAGAAGTCGTGTATTAGGATAGAAGGTTAGTAGGGGCAGTAGCGGCGCCACATACATTTGAAGGGTGTCAATAGACACCACTTCGTCAGAAAATTACACTGTGTAGCTATATATATATATATATATATATATATATATATATATATATATATATATATATATATATATTACATGTTGACACGATCATTGGCTTCTATGCAGTTTTGCTCCTTTATATTTTGACACCCCTTGATAAAAAAATTGGCTCCGCCACTATAGGGGTGAAGTGTTGTTGTCTTGTTGTGCATAGGTTTAGGCTTGTTAGAATTTGTCGTAGCATCAGTTGTACCCTTGTAGTTCTTGCTACATTCATGTTGTTTATTGTGTTTCGATAATCACACTTTTTTGTTGTTGTTATTTTTTCTTTCTCCTTATTAATGATATATTTTCTTCATTGTTTTCTTCTTTTTCTTTTACTTGGGTTTGATGCATTTGAGTCGAATGTCTTTCGGAAACAACCTCACTATCTCCATGAGGTAATTATAACAACTGCATATACTCTATCTTCCTCAGACTCTACTTAATGAGATTTCACTGAATATGTTGTTGTTGTTATTAGCTTAAAAACACATTTGAGTTGTGATAGACAACCAAAAATTATAAATATAAACTTCGATTTTCACTGAATACACTCAATCTTGACTTTTTATTTACAGTAAAGCCTTATCCACACATGTATTTACACCAAGTCAATTAATGTAACAAACATGTTTCGTATATATCTCTTACTCTCAGGGCCGATTCAACAATATTGGGGGCCTAAAGCGAAATTCAAGAGAGGGGCCCTAATATTTTTTTTCATCGTATAACTTTTATTTGAAATCTAATTTTCTAGCTATTTTAGATGCGAAGTCATTAGGTACTGTTTTATAATCGATTTGTGTTAATAATTCATTTTCAAATGATAATATAGCTAACTTATTCAATCTCTCTTGGGACATTGTTGATCTTAAAGAAGATTTTATCAATTTTAATTTTGAAAAAACTCATTTCGGCTGAGGCAATGGTTACAGGAACTGTTAACATTATTCTATAAGCAATATGTGTATTTGGAAAAGAATCAAGTCTTTTTATTTGATTGAGTATTTTCATTAGATCATTATCTTCTACTTGTATTATTTCTCTTCACACTTTAAATTTAAAAAATAAATCTAAATCATCAATAGTTGAATAACTAGTACGTGTTAAAGAAAGTTCAAGGTTAAGGCAATATTTTTTAAAATTCTCATAATCTAATGATCTCAATATTTTACCATTAAATGAGAAATCAAAAATATTTTCATATGCTTCAATTGGTCCAAAACTATTTTGAAGTGAAAAAATAGTTTGATCTACTCTACATATATAAAACAATCAACTCTAAAAGATTCTTCAAGGGACTTTGTGATTTCGCTATCCATATTTTCATCAAAATTGTTTTCTTACGAAATTCAGGTTTATTTTCATCTCATATGCAATTTCCTTGGTAGAAATCATAACACTCATAATACATATAATTTTATTTTAAAAAAAATAACATATAGAACTATATAAGTAATTGTTTTTTTAAAAATGGGGACCCCAAAATATATGAGGTCCCAAGCGATGACTTTAGTGGCCTAAGGGTTAAGACGACCCTGCTTACTCCCTTCGTTTCTATTTATATGTCACAATTTTAGAGGTCACGTCCCGTATGAAATTAAGTAAGTTTACTATTGTCCCCTTATTTAGTATTTACTTAATCAAGTTTTCAATCAATGGATATGAATTAATTTATTTTGATTAATTAATTTGACCAATGGACGTCAAATTTAAATTTTCAAATCTTTCAAGGGTAAATAGGAAGAATAGTGTCATTTATGCATTAATTTTATAAAATGACAAATATTAAGAATCATCTATTTTTAATAAAGACAAAATATAAATAGAAATGGACGTAGTATTTACTATTTATTATGACGATGTATGAATTAGAGACAAATTTCTTACACTTCCTCCAAATCCGAACTAAAAGTACCATTTTCATTAGTTTTGTCCCCCAATTTTCTTTCTATTATTTCTTGGGACCAAACCGTCAAATTAAGACAAGTTTTGTGGCTCTCCACTGCCTACATATTTAACAAACTTATCTCAAGTCTTTTTGGGAGCATTTGGAAGCTCTATGGCATCTGCTTCATATTCAAGCCTCTCATGGTGTTGTGCTCCAATACCGAAACCATCCTTCACAACTCCCTTCTCTTCATCTCTTTTCCCTTTAAATACTCATGGGTTTTCACTCCATAAATCCGTTCCCAGTTCAAGAACCCATGCCAAATTTGACAAATTTCAAGGCCAAGAAAATCTTGAACCAGACCCACAATTGCAAACAATGGAGGAGGAGGATCAAGAAGAAGATGACAGGTGGGTTTGAAGTTTTTTTCTTTCTTCCGTATTAATATTTGATTAATCTTGACCCTTTCTTTCCAATTCTTCTAGTGCTGTCTATGTAAATATTTTATCGTAGCAAGTTCTTTGGATTATTGAACTACGAGTACAGTATATCACTAGATTTCACACTGTTAGGATCCTCAGAATACAATAATACCCCATTCTTGAATTTGCTATTGATTCATTGGGACCCCCACTACCCGCTAGGGCGAGGGCTCATAGGGGTTAGTTGGATTGCTTTGTCTTAAAGAAAATTTGTAGTCCTTAAGTGCATTGTTATGTGAATTTGTTTCATATGAGCTACATCACTGCACACTACATTGAACCATAAAAGAATATAATTGCCTTGTCAAGCTACTTATTGTGTCTAGACGGCGGATGGATTTAGTTTGAAATCACTCATCTTATAAGGTAGTTTGTCTTGTATATGTAGTATTAGTAAGAGTCAAAAAGAATATAATGAAGTAACAGTTGGTGTCATGGGAGAGAGACGTCAAATCACTACTTAAAATTGAAGTTGATGTTGTATAAATCTTATCATTTGAAGAATAGTGTCATTTTAATTGGTGTTGGAGGGAGTTGTAACTTACTTAGAGGGTGATGTGAATGGTATGCAATATCTAGATTTTACATTATTATTTTTTAAATGTTAGTTGCATGATATGTGGATGATATGGTGACGAAGATTCTGCAAGAGAGGACGTGACTCTAAAGTTCCTTCAAGATTTCAAATCACAAATTCGGAAGTTAGAAAAGTTGGAACGTGTCATTTAGGACTTAATCTCTACTCTTGCATTGTACCTCTGCAATTTGGAGCATGCATTGCATTGATTAGCCTTTCAATAGGCCAAAGTTGTTGAAAGCATTAAAAAGTGAAAATTTTAATGGCACACTATTCTTCCTTATGCTTTTTCATCCTTACAGCTGCCTGCCTTCTGATTTGGAGGGTGCCGTTCAGCAGTCGGGCCAAGCAGCTGCCTCTTTTGTATCTTCAGGAGGAATGAGAGCCATTGTATGTGTTACCAAGACTACATTCTATACTAATGCAATTGGTTGTCACTAACAATGAGATAATGAAATTTAGGAAATGTGTTGTCCTATCTTAATCCGAGTCTCTTAATGAATCATGTTGCCCTTTCTTCATTTTCTACATTCTGCCTTTGACCTCTCAAGTCCTCCAAATTTAGTATATTATCAGATTCCTGCTGTCTTTCTAATCACGGCAACATAAAATGCCTAGTACCTCATAAGAGAGATGAGTTTGATTAACATACATTTGGTTTTATTGGGTGGAGGAGACACATCTTTTCTGATCCGTCTGCTGTATTATGGAAAAGTTATGCATAATGCTCTATGGATTCCTAGTACTATTTCTTGTTTCCCATTTATAGTACTGGTTTATGCATGATGGGCTAACCATGAGTCCTAAAACTAATCGGTGGAAGTTCAATGTGGCTTTCTTCCTCAGGTTGAGCTCTTAATACCACAGCTTCAGTTTCTTGATGATGAGGGTGCACAAGCTGAATTATGGGAACTATCAAGAACATTTTTGGAAACACTTATTGAGGGGACGGGATGCGAGGTTAGCTTAAAAATTGTGACAATACTAGTAATCTAGTATAAAGATTTTGCGACATACTCCCTATATCCCTTTATATATGGAGGTACTTGACTGAACAAGAAGTTTGACACAGATATTATATTAGTAGTAATGGAAGTAAATATTAAAGTAACGTAGAAATAAGCATCATTCTTAAATTTGAAATTTAATTAATTAATGAGTTTAAAATATCGAAAATCGTGAAAGTTGTAAAGAAAGGAATGGTATACACATTTTGGGACATTCCAGAAATGGAAGATTTTCATTTAAATGGGAACAGATGAGTAATAAGAATCTGACCCTTAAACTTTATAGCAAGATTTACACAGAGTTCTATCTGCACAGGGGTGAAGAAACAGTTGAGATCTATGGTATCATAAAGGCATCCCTTTTATGTTTCAACAATTGTGTATGATCAGTTGATCACACTGTTTGCAGTGTTCACTATTCAGAAACATTTCCAATGTCAGCTGCATATAACTTAGACTGATTCTAGGATCCATCATTCACGTGTTTCGATGGCGCCCAAAGTATTTCTCGGTCATCAAAAAAAAAAAAAAAAAACTCAAGACTGCATCTAGTTTTCAGGCCCTGTTTTATCTTGTCCCATACAGTATGCAAATATAGCTTTAGCTCCTTATCCATGTTTAATTACTAAGGTCTAAAACTTTCACTGCTAGAGAGTTAAAGCCATTTTTCCAGATGCTGGAGCTGCCGCACTCCTGAAATATCGGTGGAAAGATGCTACATTTGGATTCGCCAGGTAGACTTTGTTAGATGAGCATTCTCTGTCAATGATTTGATCAGTAGTGCTTCCTGAGTTATAAGAGTTCCTAAAATGGTTCCTCTTTCAGTGGAATACCTGAATACAGTTACTTTTAACCATAAAATTGTAATATTATATGGATAGTCGACTAACATTTGGTTATTGTTCTTGATGTACTTACTAATCCAGTCTAGGTGATCGGAAGCCAGTCAGTAAGGAAGACGAAATTGTAGTCATGGTAGTTCCTGATTATCAGATGCTGGAATATGTAGAGAAAATTGCATCCGATCTCTCAGATGACCCGGTACCCATTTGATATGATTTCTCTTTATATTTGGATCTCTTATTAATTGAACAACTACTATCTCTCCTTCTCTCTCTGGTTCTTTCCATGAATAGTTAAAGTGCCAACTTAGCCTCAAAGTACTTGAGCACCTTAAAAGCATTACAGCAATTAGATGCTTATACTCGATTCATCACAAACTGTTCACTAGAAGTCACTACAGTGCATTACTAGCTTTATTCTTGTCTGCCACAGTAGAAAAGACAACACATTACTTTTTGAAACTGCATGTGTAAACAATGGCCTTAAAATGAGGTGCTATTTTTTGTCAGTAATCTATACACCGTCCTTCATTTAGTTCCTCATTTTGATATAAACAAAACCTAAAGATGTCTGATTTTAATAATAGGAACCATGACTACCCAAGTTCTCAGAAAAATGTGTGGATTGGTTTAATAATACTAAACCCTTATTCTAGATTTAGTATTGTTTTTTCAGTTATTGATTTTAGGTAAGATTTTATCAACTCAACATTGAAAAACACCATTTCAGTAAGACAATTATTATATGAATTGTAAACATAATTTTATAAGTAATAAATTGACAAATATTAAATAAAGATAAGAGTTATAAGAACCATAGAATCTGATTCAAGAAGTTGATGACTTGATATACACCATTTTAATATGCTTGTTGTAATGTTTGAAACTAAAATTTAAAAAAAGAAAAGAATTTGTAATTCACTTTGTTCAACACTTTTCACTATTGATTCTTATTTTTAACAAAGTATAAAAGATGTTAAAGTGTGTAAAATAATATATTTTTTATCATAATTAATCAATTTTTTCTATAAAAATTTAACACATAATTTATTCTTGATAATAATTTGGGGCCCCCAAAATTTGGGGGCCTAAGGCATAAGCCTTATTTTACAAAGGCAAGAGCCGGCCCTGTCTTGTATATTACTGGATTGACTGATATTGCTGGAAAGTTAGTAATCTGAAAAATCTTCAAATATATATCTTGTGGAAGGAACAAACTTACCAACATATTTATTAAAATGAAAAAGAAACCTTAGTTAGAACAGAGGGAATATGCTAGTTACTTGGGAAGAGTTACATTGAGATGACTTTACACAGTGATTTTTGTTCATAGGTCTTTGAGAATTAGCTATAAAAAACTTAAGAACAGAAGAATATTGCGTTCAACCTTCTTCCAAGATTGATGTGTTATCACTGAGTTTATACTCATTTTTCCATTTCTCTTTCGGAAAATGAATTTTGGAGAAAGCATTTAATTGAGCGGAAGGCAAAGGGTGAGGATCAAAGATCTTATCAGAAACTTGCCCCCAAGGCCTAGCTCAAGTGGCAGAAGGTGGAGGATTTGTGGCTTAGGTCGCAGGTTCAAGCCCCACACCATGCAAAGCGAAGCCCGGTATTTAAGTGGAGAAGGGTAGAGGGGCGGTCCCATTATCCACCGAGTTTAGAAGGCTGTGATTGGTCCAAAGGGTGGGTCACAGACGGATTTCTCGGTTATCAAAAAAAAAAAAGATCTTATCAGAAACTTGCTTCAACATTTTCGTGTTGCAGTATTGTAAGGATTAAGAAGTATGTATGTGGTCATGTTAAAAAAAAATGGTCCTTGAGATTTGATGATGGATTGTATGAGAACATTACTTCATAACTGCTGAAATGAGAATATGAAGATAGTGTGAGGTTTGGCTAACATAGATTGTGGGAGTCAGTCAGACAGCTAGTATTTTTCTGTCTGCTAAGCTTGTACCTTTCCAAAAATGAAACTCTGATGACAGGGATTGCACTTAGACTGAGGAGGCGTAGATGTTTTTCTTCTCAGGCTTTCTCTCTTCAAACTTCTAAAAACAAACCTATTTACATTAGACAGCGATAGTATTTTTCTGTTAAAGATCTATGGTTATTTTGTTAGCCTAGGCCTCTTATCATGTGGAACCCACGTCTAATTAGTGAGGATGTCGGAGTGGGGATCAATGTACGCAGGCTGCGGCGCAATTTTTTAAGGTAATTTTGGTTTCTGCAACCTGGCGCCATCTTTTCTTGTCAATGTGAATTTGCGAAACTGTATAACTTTCCCATATTTTGACGGATTTTTTTTTTTCTCACTGCAGCACCTTTACTGTGGCTTACTCGATGAGACCTCTACCAGATGGCGCTGTATTTAGATGTTATCCCGGGTAAGGAATCATCTACTTGATCGTCACAAAACATTCCCAAATGAATAGAGTTCTAGTTGGAGGTTGAGATTCTGTGCAACTGTAAACGCATGTTGTGTTACATGGTTAGACAATAATATCATGAAAGACATTCAGTGTCTTGGCAAGCAAGCTTATCTCCCTTGCTTACAAGTTCTTCCACCAACCTGGTTCAGTTTCGCTAAATGACAGACTAGATGCTGAATGATTGATGCTGTGAGCTATCAAAATTCCAACATAAAACTAAATTGAATTAGATTGGCTTATTATACTTGTAAGTTGTAATTTATCAAACATGATGTTGCATAACATTGGTTTTGGCAACTCTTATAGATTCTCTCTCTGTCTCTCTGTTGCGTTTGATTTGCTGGCTTAAAGGATTGGTGTTTAATTGTTTATTTTCTGGTTTACTCCAGATTATGGAAAGTGTTCTATGATGATAAGGACCGACCAAACAGATATCTTCTTGCCAAAGAACAGATCAGCCGTCCAACTATAGAAGATCTGGAGGTTTGTTGCTCCACTACTACTATATATTTAAGTTAGGCCGTAATAAAGTAGTTGTTAAACGTGCCCCCAAGGCCTAGCTCAAGTGGCAAAAGGTGGAGGATTTGTGGCTTAGGTCACAGGTTCAAGCCCCACACCATGCAAAGCAAAGCCCGGTATTTAAGTGGAGAAGGGTAGAGGGGCGGGCCCATTATCCACCGAGTTTAGAAGGCTGTGATTGGTCCAAAGGGCGGGTCACAGACGGATTTCTCGGTTATCAAAAAAAAAAAAAAAGTAGTTGTTAAACGTCCTCTAGAAGTCTATATAGTTCAGTTAAAAAAATGTACAACGGTTAAGTCTTGTGCTGCTGACTCCTGTAGCACTGAAGTCTTGAAATTTTGTGTTCTGTTCTTGTTCATAAGTTTCCCATAGAAGAAATATGGCTAGAATACAACGGGGAGAAAACCAAGTTTCAAGAGTCATTATGGACTATGACATCTCTCTCAAAAACTTGGTGTTGTTTTTTCGCAGATAATATATGGAGGTGTGGATGAGAAGGAAGATAAGGGCCCCTCACTGTTAAATCAAGCAGCTGGAATCTTCTCTTCTATAAACCGCTTCATGAAAGTCATTTCAAGATAGACCGTGCCTTCACTTTTTAACACAGAGGCGTAGTGCTGAGCATTTAACTAAATGACACAAACAATCAGCACCAGGATTTGCTTGTAAATGCACTCCTCTATCTATTATCAGTTTGCAGATCTTTCAGAATGGATTAGCAGAGTATATATCAAATTACTTGGTGCATTCAGTTTCCTTGATCAGAGAAGTTGTGGTATATTTTCAAGGAACTCTTTTGTAATTCTATTTTTGTTCAAACAGAAAGAGAATCTTCCACAATAGTAGCAAACAGTTCACTTTTCAGAAATCAGACAATTTGATTTGATCCCTTTTATGTCCCAAAGGAGCATACTAGTTCTAGCTTTACTTCACAAGAGGGTATTTTGTAAATGATTAATGAAAAGATATCATGGTCACAATTTGCTGCAATGAGTCGAGATACATAGATTACATAACAATGGTCAGTCACCAACCAGTTGAGAGGTATCTTGCAAATCGACTGAAAAATCCGTCTCATCACCATCCATGTAATATAGAATGAACCTATTATCTGGTACATACCCTTCATCTCTCATGTGTCTAAACAACTCCAGCAAGGTAGAATAAATGATCATGGTTCTGGGATGCATTTGATCTGCAACTACGAAACAATGGATTTCCTTCTCAATCTCTATCCAGCTTGTCCCCGTCTCCTTTGCCACTCCCGTCTCCTTCATTTTCCTTATGGTTCTAGCTCTCTCTTTCCACCTCCCTCTGGAAGAATATATATTAGCCAGTAGAACAAATGGCACCGGATTATCAGGTGAAGTCAAGAGCCATTCATCAGCTGCATATTTCCCTATCTCAGCATCACCGTGAATACTACAGGCACCAAGTAATGCCTGCCAAATAAATATGTCTGGCTTTACTGGTAGCTCCTCAATGAAACTCTTGGCTTCACATAGCAGTCCAGCTCGACCAAGCAAGTCAACTACAGCAGCATAATGCTCCATTCTTGGAGTCATCCCATAGATAATCTGCATTGATTCAAAGAATTCCATACCTTTATTTACTAGCCCTACATGACTACAAGCATGAAGCAGAGAGATGAATGTAACATCAGTTGGATCCACACCATATGACCTCATTTCTTCGTATAACTGGAGTGCCCTATAGCCATTCCCATGACGAGCATAGGCTGCAATAATGGAATTCCAAGAGACTGAATTTCTTTGAGCTATACTGTTAAAGATTTTGACAGATTCTTCCAGTTCACCGCACTTGGAATACATGTTAATTAGCCCATTACGTACAAACGAGTTGGAAATGAAACCTTTCTTGATGATTAAAGAATGCACTTGCTTGCCAAGAGCCAAAGAAGTATCGCTACCAAAGACACCAAGAATGGCTGACACTACATCAGGGTCAATGTCAACCCCTGCTTTTACCATTTTTACAAAGATCTGCAAAGCCTCTTCTTCATATCCATTTTTGGCAAACCCCACAAGCATAACTGTCATAGCAATTGTGTCAAGAACCTCTGCAGATTCAAACATCTGCCAAGCATCTTGTACACTGCCACACTTGGAATAAACATCCATCAATGCACTCTCTATACACAAATCTGATTGAAACCCCAACTTCCAAACGATCCCATGAATTTGACGAGCCTCCCCGAGTGCCTTCATGCCAGAACATGCCAACAATGCACTTAAGTATGTCAAATAATTAGGCACAACAGCAGCACCTTGCATCTTCACAAGCAAATCCAAGCTTTCCTCACAAAACTCATTTTGAGCAAGACCAGAAATCACAGCTGTCCAAGAGATAACATTCCTCATAGCCATCTCATCAAACACCTGCCTGCCAGAATCAGCACAGCCACATCGAAAATAAGAAGTAATCAATGCATTACTTACAGCTATTTCCCTCTCCAGGCCACTCAAAAGAACCAATCCATGCATCATCTTGTTAACCATAATGAAATCAAGCCCATCACAAGCTGATAAAATAGTAGTCACACTTGCATGATCAAATTTAAAACTACCAGAACCCATCATTTCTTTGAAATACCCAAATCCCATTTTAAAGTTCCAATTACTTAAAAATCCTGAAACAATCGAGTTCCACGAAACAGTATCTTTCACAGGCATTTCATCAAACACTTGGGAAGCATCTTGTGTCCTACCACATCTAGCATACATTGTCAAAAGAGAATTCCAAATTACAAGAACGTCCTGGGCACTAGATTGATTTCCCAAAAGAACAAATTCTGGGTCCTTGAGGATGGAAGCATGGATAGAAGAACCAAGACGGACATTGCCTTCCCTTCCAGAAGTAGAAAGAAGGAGGCTTATTCCTCGTGCAGAATTCACCGGAAAACTTGGCGGCTTTACGGAGGAGAATGTTCGGAAGTGGAAGAGAAGACATGATAAGTATGAACGGAAACCAGGCTTTGGATTGAAGAACATCCATCCAGCATTCATCCATATAACATTCAGCAAAACACCAGTAAGACTTTTATGCACAAACTCTCTAATTCCTTTGATGGGATGATAATCTGGTAACTCAAAATGTAGATGGGTCAGTTCGAGAGCATAGCCACATAGCTGTCTAACATTGTTTGGTTCAAGAGGTGTTTCAACAACATTTTATAAGAATGGGTTAAACTACATTTAAACTATCACACTTTTGCGAGTTTCATAACTCAACTAATAGTACCATAAAAAAGTTTCGAGTGGCATTCTACTAATCAGAGGGTAGAGTTCATAACAAATACTATTACATTCAAGAGAGTAACATTGATGAACTTTCCCAATAAAGAAAAATCACTAGCTATTTCAATTTGTCATCAATTAAGAGTAAGAAGTTAAACTTGGCAGTTTAATTTGGGCAACATATCATCAATTAGCCATCTTGCTAACCAACTGTATGCATTTTGTGTAAAATGAATTCCATCCCAACTGATGTGAGTATTCGGGTCAACACACACTGGAACCATTGGATCACCGCAGCTTCTATGTCCGTTGTAATTATATTCTCCGCCTATTCCACAACATGCTTTTTGTAGAGAGTTGTTGTCGAATCCTGAAAATGTATTCCAATCAAGAAAGTTTATAGATGAATATGGTTTTCTTTGCTAAAAAGAAACGTTATTTTTAGCACTTACCAAGACTGACAGCATTTTCTAGAAGCCACATAAAGGCGTTGTAGTTGTCACCATAAATCAGTGTAATGTTTGGGTAATCTTTCTTCAATTCATCAATGGCTTGTTGCAAATAGCGATTGTAGAATATTACAAAATTATTCAAGTCCTTCAAGCAATGGTGCTCATCATAGGCAGTTGAATTGTTGGTCATGAATTCCGTTAGGAACAATGGGATACAACCTATAGGGAAGTTGCCTGGAACTATAATTCGAGTAGCCCCAAAACCGATAATCCTCTGGAAAAAAAGTAATTGATCACACTAGGAAACAAATATCAACCAAATAAAAGTAGTAATCAAGAAAGAAAAGGTAAATAAACTCACTTTAACAGCATGAATGATGGTCTGAACAACTTGTGGGACAATTCTTCGCAATTCTTCGATGGTTTTACCTTGCAATAAGCCAAAATTGAATTCATTTCCTCCAATTTCTCCAACTAGGAAAAGTGAGTTGTTCAACTTTTCTGGACAATCTAGCAAAGCAAGAAGAAAATTAATGAAGAGAATTGAGTGAGTATTTAACAAACAAATTAGTCATTGTAATGAAAATTACTTGGAGAGCAGGTTGTGTGGAAATGGGAAGACATCCAATCAAGTTGAACACTCAATGAACTATTGGTAGCTCCTATATTATCAATGTTGTTCTCTGCCAGGAATTCGGCTGATACAGCAGTAGACCCAGCTACTGCAAAATTCACACCATGTCTAAATTCTGCATTTTCATCTTTGTATGGATTCAGGAGAGGAAGACCACATTCCACCGCTGTATATTAATTATGAGAGATGAACACACAAAACATCAAATATATATATCATAAAGGTAGTAGCATATTATCAACATAAGGTAGGCCTAAATAAATTTTATACACTAGTGGGGATTAAATGTGCAGCACACATTACACCTCAAGTTTGATTTAAAAATCAAATTATCCTTTTCAAATTTGAAAAATAGACATTTTTCCTCTTTTATTATATGCAAAAGTCTATTTTCTTCATCACTCTCGTACCAGTCTCTTTCTATATCACTCTCTCACATATTAGGTATGAAAAATATTATCTTTTTATAATTGAATCTATAAGTAATTTGATAAGATGTTAAGTTTTGTGGTTTAGGAAAAGAAATGATGCACAGAAGAAGATGGAGAAGAAAGGGGGGTGGGGTAACGTGGGGCAAGGGGTCGGGTAGAAAATGTATTTGAAATAAATTTTATTTCTTAATTTAAAAAATATTTTTTCTATAATTTTTGGGGGCCACTTGCTACATGTCATCTTTTCATTAATCATTCGGTCATGTCATCGAGAGTGTATCCCACACATTTTACTTCTTTTTTTTGTTGGTTATTGAAAAATGTCTAATAGGAACAAGTTTGGCATAGATAAAAGTGTTAAATAGGCAATAGTCTTAGTTGATATGTCTAAATGAAATAAGCGGATAACTTTGAGGGGGCGATGACTTAATCCTAAATTTAAATATCAACTTGTGTACACTCAAAATTGAAGGGGTTATCACATTATAGATTCCATTAAAATTAATAATAATAAATTATTCTATTCATTTTTTTCATTATAGAACAACATTACCTTATATATTCAATCAATATTTTTCATTTTTTTTAACGATTTTTTTTTTTTTTATATAGGAAGTTTCTTTTTATATAAAATTTTAAAAAATATTATGATTTTAAAGAAGTATAATAACAATTTAAAAACTAAAAGTTGATAATAAGAGAGTAGAATAAATGCTTTAAAAAGTCGATAGAAAAAAGAAAAAAGAAGGGGGCTGTAGGGGGAGAATGACTATTTCTCAATTTAAATTGAAGGAGGAGGGGATATAAAAGTAAAGTTGGGAGATTTAAATGATTTTCACCCTATTACTACTATTTAGAAGAGGAGATACAACCAAAGTAGGTGTTCGTCAATATGCCGACTTGTATGTCAAGGATATTTTCATGTGTATATATATATATATATAATAAATAAATAAATTTGCTTGAGTACTCTCGAAATCCATTTATTTGTGGGACATAAATAGGAACAAAAGAAATAACATATATTATGTGAAAATTAAGTAAAAATATTATAATCTATAATAATTAATAACTTTAAATATTTTTAAAAATATATATGGTTGTAAACAAATTTCATCTGTGTCACAAATGGAAAATAAAGAAGTAATATAGCACGAGCGCGCTCTCTCTCTATATAAAGTAGTACCGTTGGGGATGCAAAGTAAGAATTTATACCTATGAAATCAATGATGAGCATGCCATTAGAACAACGTCCGGTTACATTTTGGTAAAAATTGATTCCATATGGAGGTCTCTTACACCAAGATTGAACTTCACAAAGGGTCTCTCTGATGCAATTGCCCGTATCGGAAATTGAATCACCAAATTGATATATTTTATCAAATCTGCAATTCATCAATCGTGGATTTTGAAGCTTTAATACTTGTTGAGCATCGCCTAAAATGAGTAAAGAAAGAAGCAAGGCTATTGTTGCTGCCATAACTCAATTTTAATTTGACAAAGAAAACTATTCAGAGTTGTACATACATATAATACATGCATCTACTATCTTTGACTACTACAACTCCTTTCACCACTCACATTATTATCAGAGAGCTAGGGCCACAAATGTATGTATAGGTTCAATATCTTAGTCAAAATCAACATTAAACACATTATATGTTCAGTTCAATCATCCACATATATAGATTGGCCCAAATCTCAGTCCAATTTTACAACCTAGTTAAGATTAAGGTATCTTGTTGCCAGAGGCGGAGCCAGAATTTTTAATAAGGGGGTTCAAAATCTGTAGAAACAGACACATGAAGTAGCCAAAGGGGGTTCGACATCTACTATATATACATATAAAATTATTTTAACTATGTATAAATAATATAATTTTCCATCAAAGGGTGTTCGGACGAACCCCCTTTGTACAAGGTGGCTCCGCCCCTGCTTGTTGCCCCTACAACCACAAGTTCCAAAAGAAATATAATAGTACATAAGATTAAGGTATTTTGTGGCACCTAGTTTGTGCTTTTTATTTTTAAATGAAAAATATTAAAGACAGAAAATTGCAGAATGTCGACAGCAACATCAGCTGTTATTCCAACTGGTATGCACGTGATTAGGGCCATTGGAACCAGGCATAGTTTAGGGAATGTCATCCCAGTTATTATTGAGTTCATGATATTTTTCCCTTTCTATGTGGTTATTAAATAAAAGTTTATTGAAAGAAAGAGAAAATAATTGTTTTATTTTAGGAAATTTCTGTTAGGGCAGTCCGTTTTAAACAGAGTTTGTCTCTTCATTAACTGTTGGATCGTGCTCAAATTTGAAATGGGAGTTCTCAGCATCTGGTTCTTACATTTCAATGGTGGAGATTGGATTTGATTTTCTATAGATTCTAATTTTTGGGTGAATTCTCTCCTTTAGTTCTCTAATTTTTGTCCAATCTTGTTTCGTTGTTTGGCACTTGTTTTGTGGTCAATTTTGGAGAAAATAATATTGTAACTCTTGGTGATTATAGTGAAGCTTTTGGTCCTGTGATTTTTTACTCTTTACATCGAAGGATTTTCCACATAAATCTGTGTGTCTATGTGATTGATATATTCTTGTCTTGTTTTTTATTTTATTGATATACTTGTTGTCCGTTCTTCGTATTGCTTGATTTAGTTCTCTTGATTTAAATTGAAAGAAAAAATTTAGACTTGAATATCATTTCGTTGCTATCGTGTCGGGCATTCTTTGTTAGTGTCTTAAAGTTTATTATCGGAAGAAGATCCCTACAATTACTCTTTCAGTTAAGAGGCAGCACAAGTAAATTTCCATATTCGAATTAAATTTTACAAACTATCAGTTTAATTATAACTTCTGCATTCGCTGAGACAATAAGGAAACCTATCCATAGTAAACAAGAACTAGGGCGCCCTCTTCCTTTGCGAAGTGAGAAACTAAAGTAATGAACAGAGTGAGATTTTTTAATCCTCTTTGACTTTTCAAAAAAAATAATTTAACCCGCCCTACTCCGCTTCCGCACAGGTCCATCCAAAGATGTGTTATTATTAGTAACAAATAAATTGTGGGCTTATACATGTAAATTTGTGTGTGGTTATATATATATATTGTTGTGCCGTAATATTCCTAACCTTTAGAAAAATCACTTTTTGAAATGTTCTAAGTATAAAATAATTTGAGAAAAATACTTAGAAAAGAGTCGCCACTTAATTTTTTAAAGAAATTAAGAAAACTTATAATTTTCAAAGATTTTAAACAGAAAAAAATCATTTGAAAATATCAAAGAGGGTTCGGGGTTCAATTTACACTTCGAGAAGGGTTTAAGCATTCGAAGTGTCCGCTAACATGCAGTTGACCTGCGACTTGACTAAAATATATTTGACTATTTTTAGGAAAATAATGATTTAACAATAAAAAATAATAACTTACAATATTTGATTAACTTTGAGGAAATAATTAAATAAATGACACATATTTTTTTATTATTATTATTATTATTTTTTTAGAGAAAGAAAAATGAATAAAATGTGATTAAATGAAAAGCATTAAAGAACGTCTCTTTTAAGAACCAAAGGTTTAACTTAATTGAAGATATAAAATTTTGACCAATATACTTGATCACTAAAATAAATTAACACAAAACATGAAATGTATTAACATTAAACCAACACGAAGAAAATAACTCATCTTTTGGGGAATTTAATTAAGCTAATTAACAATCCTAAAGTTAGAGTTAATGATAGAAAAACAAACAATAAATAAAGACAATTAAATAATTTAAAGGTAAAGGAGAAATGACTTTGGGCCCCCTTTTTGGGCCAATTTTGCTGAAAATTTTCTGGGGTTAATACCAAACCCGTTTTTGTATACACCTGGTGTATATTAGTGTATATGAGCGTATATATCAGCTCTTTTCATGTATCTCTTGCTTCTGAACACCTGTATCTCGCCTCAGCCATGTATTCCCACATTTTCGACCTGTATATCAGTGTATACAGCTGTATATGATCGGTATATAGTCCATTTTCGGACTTTCCGGGGCCTGTTCGTCAACTCCAAAGACTTGTTCTTCGATTTCTCAAGGTTGGATGACTCGATAAAAGAATTTTGGGCCTTTATGACCCTCTCAAAATGCGAAGAGAAAAGGGAGTCCATTGGGCTCCATCCGAGGTGGATTTCACAACAAATAAACAAAAAAAGAAAAAAAGAAAAAAGAACTATATTAGCATAAAGAAAACAACATTTAGATAAATAAAGAAACACGTTAACTAATTCACAACATTCACTGAAATCTTCATGAAAATATGTATTATCCTAATAAGGCAAAGTGGATTATGAAAATGCATATGGCTAGAAACCAAAGAAAAATTTGACTAATTATACAAATGAAGGAGGGGAAATTCGACCAATGGTTGTTCTCTATCTCAGACTCAAGTTTGGGAACATTCATTTACATACCGTATACACATACAATAAATGAGACCAAAGCATATAAGCACATGTCATTGAATTAGCTCAGGCCAATACTTTAACAAAGATGTATTCATAAGCAAACAAATAGCATAACTGAGATTCTCTTTACATGAAGAAAATTGGACATTTGTAGACCACCAGGCAAACAAAATTGATCAAGAAAATCTTATTCATAATCATACGTCATTTACGCTATATTAATTATGCACCAAAATGCATTCAATTTAAAGGAAGAAAAAAAAAACTCATCTCAAACAATATTTAAACTTACTGTCATCTTACTAGTAGCAAAATGCCAAAAGATTGGCTGCACTAAAGTTGAAACAGAGAGCTATCAATTATGCCTTAGTTACACATAAATTCATGTGACTATTCAACAACAAATATTGCATAGTTTAGGAAAAAGAAACATACAACAACACTTAGAATTTCAAAAAAAAAAAAACAAGTGCAGGACATGCATGGATTTCAAGAAATTAACCAAGCTTGAGGTGACTACAAGTATAAAGATCATAAACTTACTCCAAATAAAATACCAGCTAATAGTAACGCTACTGGGCGTCGGCTTTTCCTCTGAGGTTAAGTACTTTTAAACTTTCATGGTAACTATCATTTTGACATTCCGAAAAGTTAAATATAGATAGGAACACTCTTTGACAAATTTCTAAATATTAAAACATGCTATGAATATGAGAAAACTCAAACAAGAAGCCGAAACCATGGCGTAGAGCAACAACACTTCAAAAATCCAGCAGGAAACATAACAAAATTAACATTAGAAATAGAGAGGGGCTAACAGGAAGAAACCAAACCTCGTAACTAAATGAAAACAATCATATTTAAGACGAGAACGAAATCAAATAGCCATAACATCAATTTGAACGGAAAGATCATGACTCCAAATCATGAAACTAAGCAACCATTAATTTATGATAAAAGAAATTAAAATCTGAAATGGAAGGTTACCTTTTCTGGGGCAGCGAACTGAAACTACGAGCTTGACCGTGAAGCTACACACCACCACAAATGAAGCTCCGATGAGCTTCGGAAAATTCCGGTTAGGGGCAAACGAGAGGGAAAATATAAGCCTATTCTTGAATATCTAGTAAGAAATTATTGTGCTTCCTTATCCCCCCATAACATTGAAAGAGCAGGGGTATTTATAGGCTGAATTGAGGGGGAAACAAGCAGAAAATTCGGATGATTTTGAATTCGAAATTCGAATTCTCTTTGCTCTTTTTCAAGGCAATAGTGAAGGGGATGGGAAATTCTGAAAAAAGGGGAAAAAGGGGACGGGAACGGGGATGATTGGACGCGATGTTGATTGGTGCCCTTCTTTTCCGTGATTTGTTGGGATTTTCCAAATTTTTTTGGGATTTTCGTGAAGAAGGAGACGCACAAGGTCGGGTTGTTGTTGTTGTACGCTGTGTATTGTATTGTTGGGTATTGGGTATGTTGAATGTATTGTTGCTGTAAAAAGGAATGGGCTGGGTTATTGTTGAAGAATTAAGGGAAATGGGCTGCTAATATGAGGAAATGGCTTTGGGTTGCTGAATAATGGGTCTGTTTTTAATAGGCCCAAAAATGGGTTTGAGGCAAGGTGAAAAGGGTTATATCTTGGAGTTTAAGAAATAACCAAATTGAGTAAAATTAACAAATTCGGCCAATAATTAGGTATGACAACTTCGGTCAAACTTCATTTATAACTAGCTAACCTCTTTTCCTGTTCATTGATCTACATTATTTTATTTATTTTTATTACTATTATTTTTGTTTATTTTATTGCTGACATTTGTTTGACCACTTAACGTTATAGTTGTTGGTGTATAATTTTCCTAGATTTGCTTACCCTTATTTGTTATTATTTAATATATATATATATATATATATATATATATATATATTTATGATAAAGTAAGAAAGGCATTTTTTGTCTTTGCCTGCGTGTTATGGGGTTGAATATGATAGCTGATAAGAACAAAGTACTTGTATGCGTGTTCAATCCTACAAGTAGGAAAAGAAAAATCAATTTTCTAAAGAGAAAAAACACATATAAAATTATCAATATGCTATATAAGATTATTACATCAAGTTTTAGCACAAGTTTGTATTTTTCAATGCATA